AAAAAAAAAAAAAAAAAAGGTAGCCAGGCATGATGGTGCACACCTATAGTCCTAGCTACTCAAGAGGTGGAGGCAGAAGGATTCTTGAGCCCAGGAGGTCAAGGCTGCAGTGAGCTATGATTGCGCCACTGCACTCAGGTCTAAGTAACAGTGTGAGACCTTGTCTCAAAAATAAATAAATAAAATAAAAAATAAAGACATTCAGTAGCTTTAAGTCACTGAGAAGTTTGCTTATCAACAACTGAAATAAAGTTTCAAATTGAGCCCCAGTGCAACATCACTATCACAAAATCTCACAGATAGGTAGACTTTAGGACAGCAGGCTATTTAGGACATCTGATCATATGAGGACTCATTCTCATCAGGAAGACCAAGTAATTAAACAGAAATTGTTTGATTTAATAAGACAAGAAAATTTTGAATTTGTCTTTGAGCCCAAATTAAGGATATGGTATCCCTTGCAGTCAGCCTATCCTTGACTAGCCAAAACTTTGTATAACAACTCTGGCTTCCAAATTCCATCTCCTTTATCATCTTTCTTCTCTTGGTGTTTTATGGCCTTCAGGTGGGAATAAACCCCTCCACCAGAAAAATTTTGGTAACCTGGGATCTTCAAAGCACAATGCCAAATATTAGGTCTCCATAGTTTCTAAATGGTGTAATCCTTGAAAGACAAAGAAGTAAAAACATCTACAGAGGATAGCTGATATATTGAGACTTACAAAATTATTGTTAATGTTTACTTCTCTAAGTCAGGTGTGAGCTGGGAGACTGCCAGTCTTCCAAGACTAGGCCAGCTAGTACCATAGAGTCCAAAAAAAGCTCCAAATTACTTCAAGCCAGAGTATGTCTTTTTTTGGAATTTGTTCTTTTTCTAATTTAACTCTATTGCCTTTAGAGAACATATTTTTTTTTATTGTACTTTATGTTCTAGGGTACATGTGCACAATGTGCAGGTTTGTTACATATGTATACAAGTGCCATGTTGGTGTGCTGCACCCATTAACTCGTCATTTACATTAGGTATATCTCCTAATGCTATCCCTCCCCTCTCCCCCCACCCCACAACAGGCCCTGGTATGTGATGTTCCCCTTCCTGTGTCCAAGTGTTCTCACTGTTCAATTCCCACCTATGAGTGAGAACATGCAGTGTTTGGTTTTCTGTTCTTGTGACAGTTTGCTGAGAGTGATGGTTTCCAGCTGCATCCATGTCCCTACAAACGACATGAACTCATCCTTTTTTATGGCTGCATAGTATTCCATGGTGTATATATGCCACACTTTCTTGATCCAGTCTGTCATTGATGGACATTTGGGTTGATTCCAAGTCTTTGCTATTGTGAATAGTGCCGGATTAAACATACGTGTGCATGTGTCTTTATAGCAGCATGATTTATAATCCTTTGGGGATATACCCAGTAATGGTACATATTTATAAGATTTCAGTCATTTGATATGTATTGAGCTGTATTTTATTGCTCGGAATATGGTCAACTTTGGTGAACATATGCTTTTTAAAAAACGTACACTATATTTAAGTGGAGTTCTATAAATGTCAATTATAGTCATATTCCTTGATAGTGTTCTTGAACTCTTCCATATGCTTATTATTTCCTCAACTTTATCAATTATATAAAAATTATTAATTTGCAACAACTTTTAGTATGGAAATATTCAAACATAACACAAAAGCAAAGAGGAAAATGTAATGGAATCCCAAATACCTACCAGCTGCTTCAAAATTAGTGACATTTCATTTGTAACAGTTATAAAAACTAGTTATAACAGCCTCTATTGTCCACTTCTGCTGAATATAAATTGAAAAATTCCTAAAAAGCTAAAGTGTGAAATCTAAGAAATAACTACAAGAATGAAAATTAAAACTTTTAATAAGAAAGATGAAATGTTTCAATCAGGTAAATCTAAATTGGACCTAATTGTTATAAGTTCAAATGCTGCCCTGTAGTTATAAATCATATATGTTCTCAAATGTACTGATAGAACTTCAAATGACTAAGGAACTTTGCTGTATTCAGAATCAACAGTTGAAAAATTGTTAGTTAATTCACTAGCCTAAATATTAATGAACTACACATCAAGGTTTTCCATCAAAGTGGTTTCTTACCTTTTAAAAATCTAGCGCAACTGATCTATCATGTAGGCTACCTTAAAATATTGATCAAACTAATTCCAGAACCTCATGACAAAGCCTTTCCAGATTTCAGAAGTCCTAGCCAGAGCAATCAGGCAAGAGAAAGAAATAAAAGGCATCCAAATAGGAAAAGGAGTCAAACTATCTCTCCTCACCAACAATCTGCGTCTATACCTAGAAAACCCTGAAGACTCCACCAATAGGCTCTTGGAACTGATAAATGACTTTAGTAAAGTTTTGGGATACAAATTCAATGTGCAAAAATCAGTAGCATTTCCAAATACAAATAACATTCAAACCGAGAGTCTCAAATCAAGAACACAATCCCATTTACAATAGCCACACACACACACACAAATACCTAGGAATACAGCTAGTCAAGGAGGTGAAAGATCTGTACAAGGAGAACTACAAAATGCTACTGAAAGAAATCATAGATGATACAAACAAATGAAAAAACATTCTATGCTCGTGGACTGCAAGAATCAGTATTGTTAAAAAAGGCCATACTGCCCAAAGCAATCTACGGATTCAACACTACCAACATCATTTTTCACACAATTAGGGAAAACTATTCTACAATTCATGTGGAACTAAAAAACCCAAGTAGCCAAGACAATCCTAAGCAAAAAGAACAATGCTTGAGGCATCACATTACCCAACTTCAAGCTATACTATAAGTCTATGTAACCAAAACAGCATGAGAGTGGTACAAAAACAGACACATAGACCAACAGAACATAAGAGAGAACCCAGAAATAAAGCCACACACCTACAGCCATCTGATCTTCAACAAAGTTGACAAAAATAAGCAATGGGAAAATACGCCATATTCAGTTAAATGGTGTTGGGATAGCTGGTTATCTATATGGAGAAGAATAAAACTGGACCCCTGCCTTTCACCATATACAATTAACACAAGATGGATTAAAGATTTAAATCTAGGACCTCAAACTATAAGAATCCTAGAAGAAACCCCAGGAAACACCATTCTGGACATCAGCCTTGGGAAATAATTTATGACTAAGTCCTCAAGAGCAACTGCAATAAAAACACAAATTGACAAGTGGGACCAAATTGAAGAGCTCTGCACAGCAAAAGAAACTATCAACAGAGTAAACAGATAACCTACATAATGGGAAAAAGTATTTGCAAACTATGCATGTGACAAAGGTGCAATATCCCAAATCTGTAAATAGTTATTAAACAATTAAACAACCAAAAAGCACCATGAAATAATGGGCAAAAGACATAAACAGACACTTCTCAAAAGAAGACATACAAGAGGACAACAAATATATGAAAAAAATGCTCCATATCACTAATCATCAGGAAATGCAAATCAAACCCACAATAAGATACTATTTCAACACCAATCAGAATGGCTATTTTTAAAAAGTAAAAAAATAACAGATGCTGGTGAGGCGGAGGAGAAAACATAACACTTACACACTGCTGATGAGAATGTAAATTAGTTCAGCCACTGTGGAAAGCAGTTTGGAGATTCCTCAAAAAAAATAAAATAGAACTACCATTCGACCCAGCAATCCCATTACTGGGTATATATCCAAAAGAAAACAAATTATTCTACCAAAAAGACATATGCACTTGTATGTGAGTCACAGCACTATTCACAATAGCAAAGGCATGGAATCAACCTAGGTGCCCATCAGCAGTAGGCTAGATAAAGAAAATGTGGTACATATATACCATGTAATACTGTGCAGCTATAAAAAAGAATGAAGTAATCTTTTCAGCAGCATGGATGCAGCTGGTGGCCATTATCCTAAGTGAATTACACAGGAACAGAAAACCAAACACTCCGTGTTCCCACTTATAAGGAGAAGTTAAACACTGGGTACTCATGGACAAAAAGATGGCAACAATAGACACTGGGGACTACTAAAAGTGGGAGAGAAAAATGGGGGCAAGAGGTGAAAACTTAACTGTTGGGTACTATGCTCACTACCTGGGTGACAGATCATTTGTATCCCAAACCGCAGCACCACACAATATATCCATGTAATAAATCTGCTCATGTACCCCCAAATCTAAAATAAAAGTTGAAATTATCTTTTTTAAAGGCAGATTTGAAGTGAGCTTAGAAATGTCTTAGAAAATGATAGGTGACAAGTCACAGAAGGCATGAGTAGGAAAATGAGCAATCATCCTCAATAGACAAGATTCAGAATCTCCTTTTCAGAAGCTAGAAGTTCATCACTAAAAACTCATAATTAAATTTTGGTGCTAATTTATCTTCACAGGAGACTCTAAGGCAGATATCAACATGATGTCACCATAAGGCAATATGAGCTCATTTGTCATATCATAACTTGTTTGTTTATAATTTTTCATAGCACCTTTCATTTCAGAGTCAAGAAAGTCCATCATTTAAAAAGTCATAAAAATAGGCCAGGCACAGTGGCTCAAACCTGTAATCCCAGCACTTTGGGAGGC